CCTCTGGTTTCTTTCATTTTGATTTATTTTGTTGAATTTAAGGAATCTTGTGAGGTTAAGAATTATTTGTTTGCACTTTGACCCCAATCCAGGGATCCAGAGGCTGTGGGAAACTTTTAGCTACATTAAAAAATGTAACAGCTAAACACAACTTGTTGTCCCAAGCAGTTATCCACTGCTGAGTAAGTTTACCAGTGGCAGCCTTCCTGAAGTTTAGTGCCCAGTTTTGCGGCTCACATTATCAGGCTCATGGAGGTAGCTTGAGAACACTGGTCGATGAATGCTGAGTGATATGGGAGATGTGAATTCACTCATTCAGGGACTGATGATAGAGCTCGGAGTATTACTCAAAGTTTTGGTTTCTCTTTTTCCTACTATAGTTTGACAGGGCCTACTGACAATCTCAGTCATTATCAACATTTTGGACTTGTACAGGCTGCCTTTATATTTGATTTTTAAAATACCTAACTGCCTTAGAAGAAGCTCTGGTGGCACAGTGCCTAAGGCATCTGACTGCTAACCAGAAAAGTTTGGTGGTTTAAACCCACTAGCCACTCCACAGGAGGAAGACTGGGCAATCTACCACCATCAAGATTTACCACCTCAGAAACCCAATGGGGGTCGCTATGAGTCAGAAACGACTTGATGGTGGTGGATTATTTTTTCTTTTGGTTAACTGCCTTACACAAAAAGGTACCCTGTGAAGGCTGATGTCATTAATAAGTTATTTCAGTGAACTATATGTGACTTCACTTTGAAACATTTGAGAATTTAAAAATTCTTAATATGCAAAGGAAAAGTTGTCTTTATACTTGTTGAATCAGATGCCTAACCTGCTCTATTTATATTATTATTAATGTTTGTATCACATGGTGGTAACTATGTGGCAGAAATTCTATAACAGAAATTCACCCTGATGCATTCCACTCAACTGTCTTCAATCTCCACTGTACATAAAGGTTAAAAAAAAAAAAAAAAAAAAGATAAGAGGACTAAAGATCTTTGTCTAAAAGTCTTATAAGGACATTTAGTGGTGGAACAAGTCTGAGATTTTTTGCTGATGTTACTTTTGTAACTTTCTTTGTGTATATTTCAATCACCCTGTATAATAGTATCAATGAATTAAGGACTTATATATTTTAATTACTTCAATATGTTTAATAGAAATCATTTGAAATAAAGACTTACAAATAATAAAGTCTTCAGTCTTTTCCTTAAAGTTATTTATTCCTCAATTCATTAAACAAGATGGTTTGACAGTTAGCTAGGAAATCATGACTCTTAAATAAAGCAGGGAGGAAAACCTCTTTTCATCTCTGCCTGCTCCCTTTCCCTCTACCCCCAGAGAATCTCATTCATAAAGGTTAACACTGGGAAGAGGAGTGCAGATACAAAAGATTATTGTATTTTTAGATCTAAAAGTCTAGAAACTCGTTTTGTTCTGGATTATGCCACAGTGTTGGTGTGAAATTTCAACAGGTCATTACCCCTGATGTCAGTATCCTCCAATGCAAATTAAAGGTCATAAGCTAGATGATCCCACAGCACCTTTCTGCCCCAGCCAGGGAGTAGGGAATGTATACACAGCTGGACCGCAGTTCTACCTCTGTTGGGATGATGTATGGGGCTAGGTGGTTCTGCCTGTGAGAAGCAATTGCCTCCCTGTTATGAGAATCCATGACCTACCAATTAAGGGTGGAGAATCAGGCGCAATAAATTTTACACAGAGCTCATTCACTTGGTAACTTGAGATTTCATTTGGAATTAGAATCCGTAGTGCATTTGTGATTTCTGTTTAGAGTCCAAAAGTTATCTGGTAACACACAGTTTCTGATGTTGGCTGTCACCATGGTGAGGGCCAAATTAACTCTACCCCATGTCCATATAAGGCTGAGTTAGCTAAGTGCTCAGCTAGTGCACAGTTCTGCAGTCAGGCCCTTTCATCACTGCTACAGTAGCACCATAGAGAAAATATATAGCAAGGGACCCAGGGGAAGCTGTGGGAAAGAACAAATGATGCACACAGCTCTTTGAACAGTAAAATCTGTCCAACTGCTATTTTTATATATTACATTACTTTTAAAAAATATAATTAATCCAAAAGCAGAGCCAGAATAACCCTGCTTTCTGCAGGAACACATTCAAGTAAACCTGTTAATTAACAAAAATACACATACATGAGGTCTGTGGTACTGAAATAGGTAATATCTCTAACTATATGCTTTAATTAAGCATATACAACTGTCTTAACAACACATATCTTCAGTAATATACTGGATTTTCCTTATGGAAAATAGTAAATGGTACGTTTTTTCTCTCCTCACTAGGTGCTTTCTTACCTTCTCCTGTCAGCCATTTGCATCATCTTATTAATTAACATCCAGTGGTACATTTGAATCAAGTGGGCAGCCTTGCACACTGACTGTTACAACAATCCAGTGACTGTTTCTCTACAGTCCCATTCTAGCATGTGGCTAGGCCCAGTCTTCATGATGGTATTGAGCATTACACAGTGCAAAGTGAAATGCAGATTTAGCAATATCTCAGGTCATCTGAGCACTACAGATAGTGGGTCCGATAGCACAGGCTCCAAATTGGGGTGTCATTTGACCATGTCCCAGCAAACTATTCAGACAACTGCCAAACCTCAACTTAATTTGATCAACACTGATAACCTGTCTGTATAACTAGAGGGAAGTAACATCTACACTGGGTTTTGAATTACTTCAGCTAATTAAATTGACCAGAAAGGTGTTCATTTTCTACTTTGCTTGGCTATGTGTAGAAACAGACTCAAAATGTTCTTAATTAGGGATAATGGGAAATAAAAAGGTCTCAATACCTGTACAAAAATAGAGAGATTGAGGGAACCTTAGAAATCTCCCTCCCAAAAGACCTCTGATGGTCTTTTAAGAGTACAGTGCTATGAAGATGGCATTATAGAGTGAAATAATTAAAATTAGCTATCTTTATCTAAAAACACAATTCTTGTTAAGGCATCATGGGAAACTCTGATATATTGGTTCTGTATTAAATAATCATATAAAGTAAGAAAGAAAAGACCTATAACCAATGACTCAGCATGTTTGGGTTGTGTTTGACTGATTACATGGAGAAGAATGCAGACTTGAGTTACACTGGAGTCTACCTCCATTCCTCAAAGGGTAATCTCACAGAATTAGAATCCCACTAATTTATGTACTCCATGTCCATATAAAGCTGAGTTAGCCACATGCTCTAGGAGTGCACAGTTCTAAAGTCAGGCATTTTCATCACTACTACAGTAGCACTGTAAGGAAAATCTATATCAAGAGACCCCAGAGGAATTTTCAATCTCATGAAATGGCTTCTAAATATTTAAAAAATATTTATCCCTGTTAAATGGTGATCAATTATCTTCAACCATCAATTTCTAATGCATAAAGTCCCCACTTCAAGAAGAATCTTTTACTAAAATAAAAGATAACTATGAAGATTGTAACTTATAGTGACCATACATGGAGAAGGAAGCTCTGATTTAATGGCAGAAAGCTTCCTAGAATGTTGTGACCATTGCTAGAGAAATAACGATTAGTCACATGTTAGTTTAATAAGAGCATCAAATTTTTAGAGAGGTTCCCTATGACAAAATTATACCTATTTGAGTTTTTGGAGAGACCCAATCAGCAGAGGATGCATAGGTACAATATCCTCTGCCCCCAGAAGACAAGTTTCAAACAAGAGGTTTACTTTTCCTAGTGGGCAGAAATGGCTATTTTACAAACTGACAACTGGATTCAACTTGGAATCATTTGGAACACTCTAGGATTGTTATAATTTATGACTCAAACAACTACATGACAACACAGACAAGAATTCCCAATTGCCTCTAACAGCCTGGCATTTGCCAATGAAGGTGTAGATAAGCACATGAATCCTAGAGGGAAACACATGATTCAAAGGCATGAAGAGTTAAAAGACTTTGTGTCATAAAACTAAATCTACTCCTCACAACTCCATATACAAAAGATTGGCTTTAGTTAAAACACACAGCATAAATAACATCTTTCTTCAGTCAGCATTGCAAATCTGTACCAAGAGACTGCAACGGAATTTTAAATCTCATGAAATGGCCTCCAAATATCACCCTTAAAGGCAACAGAATGAGAGACCAATTACTTTGCCTGTATACATTGAACCCAGTATCAGGTCAATACTTAAATTTTGTCAGGCTTTATGATGATCAGTTAAACCAAACCAAACTCACTCTCATTGAGTCGATTCCAACTCATAGCAACCCCCTTTGGATTTCCAAGGCAGTAAATCTTTACAGAAATAGACTGCCCGGTCTTCCTTCCATGCAGTGGCTGGTGTGTCTGAACCGCCAACCTTCTGATTAGCAGTGAAATGCCTTAGGCACTATCCCACCAGGCTCCTCACATGATGATCAGTTGGGGTAGCATTTTTTTTCTGTTATCTTATGAAATAGGGTACATAAAGGACATTTAGAGAATACACAGAACTATTTTAAGAGTTAGAATGATTATCAGTGGTACAGTTACCAGTGCTCTCTATTTTAGATATCCATACTACAACATTTATATTGCAGCACAAATATGTAATATCTTCATATAACATTTTATACAGTACATGTTTATGTATTATAGGATAAGTATAAAATATGGTTGCATTATATAGATGTGTGTATGAATATATATATATATATATATATACAAAAACACATATTTGTAATTGAACAACAAAAAATATGGTTAAGAAAGTTAATATTGTCCTCAACTTATTAAGAAAGTGACCAAGTCTTGCATATATTATTGTTTATTCTGGTAAAGAAAAAGAGTCCTTCATGAAATTTCTTAGCAAAGTGTGCAGCTGGCCTAATCCAGTAATTTAAAGGCTTTCATTTAAAACAGAAGTCAAAGGCAGACAATATTTATTGTATAAAATTCAATAAGCATTGCTCCTAGCTTGTCTGTTATAGCAAGGACAACACTATGACTTACACGTCCTCCTTTCTCTGGATAACACTGGCAACCCCCACTGCAGTCTCTTCCACCACAGGCCGCACCAAACTTCTTCACACCCTGCAGAAATAAAACACAGAGCACACAACCATTTACTTAAAATATTTTCAATTATAGTGTGTATCATAATACCATCTGTTGAGAACCCTTCCAACTGTAACAAACTAACTATTCATTCAAAATTTTGGAGAAACCTTTTAAAAGCGACTAGTAAGTAGTAAGTGAGTCCGTGGGTAGTTCAAATGGTTAAACTGCTCAGCTGCTCACTGAAAGATTGGAGGTTTGTGTCCACACAGAGGAGCCCTGGAACAAAGGCCTGGTCATGTACTCCTGAAAAATCAGCCATTAAAAAATCCCTATGGTGCAGGTCTCCTCTGACACATGGGGTCATCACGAGACGGCAGCTACTGATAATTTGGTCACTAAGTGGTAAATGCTAAGCCAAACCCTGAGACTCGAAAGCCAAGAATACTCTCTGAATTGAGGGATCCTCTGTGTAGACAAGAAGACTGAAAGTGATGTTACAATTACTATGTGATAGGTGCTATAGTATGAACAAGAAACTCTGTAAGCAGAAAAGTAGCTCTCAATTCTCCCCGGAAATGTAGAGAATGCATCCTGCAGGACAGGCTGAAGATGAGCCCATAGCAGGAGTGGGTGGCAGATGAAGGGGGAAGAGGGAACAGCCTGATTTTGTGGTTAAGTTAAATTCAACTTTAGGGCTTTCATAACATTAAGCAGATCTTGGTGAATTAAAGACTTCAGAGGAAGGTCAGCATGAGGTGGAACTTGAAAATAAATGTGATAGGATGACAAACCTCTATCTCCATCAGCACTAGTCACAGAGATACTTGGGGCATTAACTGAAATATGTGCAATGAACAGAACTAGGGATACTGCATGGTTTAAATCAGGAAGGGTGTGTGTCAGGATTGTCCTCTTTCAACATACTTAGTCAATCTGTATACACTGAGCAAATAATCCAAGAAGCTGGACTATACGAAGAAGAATGCCACATCAGGATCGGAAGATGAGTCATTAATAACCAGCGATATGCAGATGACATAACCTTGCTTGCTGAAGGTGAAGAGGACTTGAAGCACTTACTGATGAAGATCAAAGATTAAAGTCTTCAGTATGGATTACATCTCAACATAAAGAAAACAAAAATCCTCACAACTGGACTAGTAAGCAACATCATGATGAATGGAGAAAAGATAGAAATTGCCAAAAATTTATTTTTACTTGGATCCACAATCAACACTCACAGAAGCAGTAGTCAAGATATTAGACATTGTATTGCATTAGGGAAATGTGCTGCAAAAGACCTCTTTCAAGTGTTGAAGAGCCAAGACGTCCCTTTAAAGGCTAAAGTGTACCTAACCCAAGCCATGGTATTTTCAATCATCTCATATGCATGTGAAAGCTGGACAATGACTAAGGAAGACCAAAGAAGACTTGATGCTTTTGAATTGTGCTACTGGCAAAGAATACTGCAAATACCATGGATTGCCAGAAGAGCGAACAAATCTATCTTCGAGGAAGTGCAGCTGAAATACTCCTTGGAAGCAAGAATGGCCAGACTTCATCTCACCTTCTTTGGTCATGCTGTCAGAAAGGACTATTCCCTGGAGAAGGATATCATGCTTGGTAAAGTGGAGGGTCAGAGAAAAAGGGAAAGACCCCTCAATGGGATGGACTGACACAGTGGCTGCAACGATGGGCTCAAGCATGGCAAGGACTGTGAGGGTGGCACAGGACAGGGCAGTGTTTTTGTTCTGTTGCACACAGGATCATTATGAGTCGCAAATGACTCGATGGCACCTAACAACAACAACGTGCAACGAAAATGCCATTTTTGTTTCCCTTTCCCACTAACAATGAGGAGCCCTCAGTGCAGCTGCTAACTGAAAGGTAAGTGGCTCAAATCAACTAGCCACTCTACAGAAGAAAGATGAGGCAGTCTGCTTCCATAAAGATTTACAGCCTTGGGAAACTCTTTCCTTCCTATAGGGTGGCTATGAGTCAGAATCGAATCCACACTATGAGCTATGCTTATTTGCAAAGAGGAGGAGAAGGGGAATTTGTGAGAAAGAGACTTTCTAAAATACAGGGTGGTATAATTTAAGTTGTTGTCAGGTACTGAGATAAAACTCTTTAACGAGTTTAGTGGATAACTGAAGGAGTTCTCTGCTTGGATCCTTCTAACGGAGCAAGGGAGCCACTATTAGCCCTTGATCTCAGTATTTCTGGTTTTTAAAAAGTGGACTTGGAGTCTGGACTATATGAAGCAATACCTTAATTCTTCCCTTCAGACTGTGTTCATAAGTACTCAAGTTAAAGTGACAATCAGATTCACCCTCTTCTCTCCCTTTTCTCCACCACCCTCCCGTCAGTTTCTCAACTGTAGCAGCTTGTGTGTTGCTGTGATGCTAGAAAGTATGTCACTAATATTTTAAATACCAGCACGGTCATCCATGGTGGACAGGTTTCAGAAGAGCTTCCAGACTAGGACAGAATAGGAGGAAAGGACTGGTGACCTACTTCTGAAAATCAGCCAATAAGAACCCAAAGGATCACAACAGAATATCGTCCAATATTCTGCTACATGACCCACACCGATGAACTCAAGCATACCAATGATTGTGAAGTTGGCACAGGACCAAGCAACATTTCGTTCTGTTGTATGCGGAGTCACTATGAGTCTGGGCCAACTCCCCAGCAGCTAGCAACTCCCTTTTCTGATCAGTCAAAGATTGGCTTGACAGGTGAGTTATGGCAACAGCTCAAGAAGGGCTCCCCTATGGCTTGGTTACCTTAGTACTCGGCCAGATTGTTCTGGGTCTCACCCAATGGAGCTAAAAAGCAAGCCCTTACACTCACAGAGCCAGATTTTAGTATGCAAATAAAACCTACCAGAAAACAGAACACATTAAAATGAGAATAAAATTGCATGTTGCCACATCTCTTTCATTCTTTTCCAAAAGGTGGTTTTTATGACTTAAGTCTCCATGATGAAAGAGGATGATCACTTGGGGACTCTCTCTGTAAGTTTTTCTGTCTGTTTTCATGGCAGCATATCTGCCAGAATCTCCCATGTTCCTGGCACAGGACTGGATGTTCGTGGAGAAATACAGACATGTTTCCATGACCACCTCCGCAACTGCTGCTTAGTACAGCCTTTGCCTCTGTTTAACATTTGATGGTCAGGACAAGCAAACGTCAGCTAAAACCCAACTGGCCAGAGTCTGCCTCAGGCCTCAGCAATCACTCCATGTTCTTTTTGTATAGGTGATAAATCTCTTTCCCCTGTTAACAATTTTCTACTAGTGAGGTCACATTTGAGTGGTTCACATTTTTTTGTGTTCTTATTGTTAATTCTTTGCCTAATCTGGTCTCTGATAATAGTATCAGTTATGTCTTCAAAAAATTCCAAATGTCTGAGAATCTCAAAACATTTGAAGAAATCTATAGCTCTAAGGCTTCTGGAATCTTTTTGTTGGTTATCTTTTTGTTCTGCATGAGGCAATGAGAGGGCTTGATTTCTACCATGCAAAAGTAAACATATACAAAATCCTTCTGCCAAAACCAAAAACCAAACTCACTGCCATTGAGTCAGATCTGATTCAGAGGGACCCCTTCTTGGGTTTCGGAGGTAGTATCACTATGGAAGTAGATTGCCCAACCTTCCTTCCGAGAAGTGCCGGTGGGTTTGAACAGCCAGCCTTCTGGTCAGCAGTCAAATGCCTTAGGCACTACTGCTACCAGAGCTCCTCGCTGTTGTTGTTGTTATTTTGCTGTTGAGTCGGCCCCAACTCATAGCAACCCCTCCTTGGGTTTCTGAGGCACTATCACTACGGAAGTAGATTCCCCAACCTTCCCTCTGAGGAGTGGCTGGCGATTTTGAACCACCAGCCTTCTGGTTAGCAGTCAAATACTTCAAAGTATGATTTTAGGTATTTGGCACCTTTTCTGGTTTCAATGTTTATCTACAGTGGGTCTCATAAAATTAATAATTTTGAATGTTTGATTTTTAGAAATCCCATTCTACCCTAAGCCATAAATTTTATGGATCACCCTTAGCACCAAATGGAGAAGTCTGGATGGGCCGCCACATTTACACCTTTTATTAAGTAGAGCTGTGACATGAAGAGTGTCCTTGGCAGATGTCTCTAGTTCATGCAGTGATTCATTTACCAGTTTGTTGGAAAGGCTGGGGGGTGGGGGGTGAGGGACTTCTCAGTCTAAAGGGTAAAACATTAAACTCTATTCTCCATCTGGTGTTTCACATGCTATTTTTAATTTTGATTTTGAAACCACTTGCCAAATCTCTGTATATAATTCAATGGTTGAAATGACTTTACTATTTTCAAATTGATCTAACAGAGAATGCACACTGAATTTAGCTATAGAAATGAGTTTTTCATAACCTACTCTTTTGCAACTAGGACTTGAAGGCCTGGTAAGTCTGTCTTGAAACTTTTTCAATCATGTGCCAATGCCTCAGATATCCTGACTCACAAGATGAGAAATAGATCATTAAGAGAATAACAGCAACTCTCTCTTACAAATCACAACTAATTGTTTTTCATGGACATTCCAGCTGTGTATGTGTGTGTGTGTGTTTGCATATATATGTTTTCCCTCCAGCATCTGACATGTCGTACAGAGGGGCTCTTATGAATTCCAACTTCTGAAAGAACCCTAAGTATCACATTTTGGAATGTTAGGTCTCCAGGATGAACAGAAATATTTACTTTATTAAGGCAGGGCATGTGTTCCAGAGAGTCTCTTAAAGATTGAACAAGTCTCTGTTCTGAGTCTAGGCTTTTACCTGACAGAACATGGGACCATGGAACATTCTTATGATAATAATGCCCTCTTAAATTATTAATCTTATACTATGACCATGTAAACTGCTTTGAGACATCCTGTGCCTGTGTCTCAACTTTGCCCTCTAGAACAGAAGAATACTAAAAGATGATTCCAGTCACTGCCAGTGTTCCATGACCTAGAGCCTGTCATTTGATTTTACTGCTCTAATTCAAAGACACAATATGATCCTGCTTTTTGTTGAATTTCTTCTGTTTTTTTTTTTTTTTTTTTGTGAAGGCAAATTCCATTTCTACCGTATATCCACCTCAAGATTCTGCCCATCACCCTCCAAGAAGACTAGATCTGGCCACATCTTCAAGTTCAGAGTCTACAGGAGAACATGCCTTTCACCACATGGTCCACTTGACCTTAGTACTCCGCATAGTCTTTTCAGGCATTATTACATTTCTATAAAATATGGGTTGAAATAAGAAAATATCAATAAAACCCTCCAGTAGGTAATCTTTCAAATCTAAATTCCCACAAGTAGCATTTGTTTTGAGCAGTGTTCCAATACCTTGCTTGCTCTAAGCTAGGCCACTTGTATCTGGTCACTGACTTCACCCATTTAAGCATTTAAGGAAGAGATGCAATTCCCAGGGCCAGGAGGCTCCCTCAGAGCCCTCCTGCTAGAAATTCACTGCTGTTGAGTCGGATCTGACTCATAGCGACCCCTTCTTGAGTTTCTGAGGCAGTATCACTACAGAAGTAGATTGTCCAGTCTTCCTTCTGAGAAGTGGCTGGTGAGTTTGAACTGCCAGCTTCCTGGTTAGCAGTCAAATGCCTTAGGCACTGCACCATGAGAGCTCATATGCAAAATACCCCATTGTCAAGTACCATGCTAGATCCATGTAACAAACAAGCACTACCCAAGGGAAAAAAGGACCAGTAGTCTCATCAGACCAATTATAATGAATCCTTGAAGGTGGGTGAAGATCTCCTACTCCTGGAGAAT